GATACCGATTATGCAAACTAGAATGAGCTTGGGAAACCCCTGAAGCTTGTGGGACAGCTACCTGCTACTTTAGTTTAGTAGTAGAGGATCCTTCAGTTGCACACTAGATCTCTGAAGCAGGTGTACCCCTGATAGCAATTTTCCTGGTCTTGATGAGTCTGAGGAACATGATACAGCTCCTTGGTGCCTGCAGTGCAGTTAAATTCAGAGGTGAAAATGTCTTTTGAGTGGCACGTTGCAGCAGTGAGTTTTAGCTCTGTTCCCAATAAACAGATTACAAAATAAGTCAGAACTGTTGCTTTAAAGCTCTCCTGCAACTATAAAGAAGTTAAAAGTTCTCTTCTCAGGCTGGTGTTTGTAGCTGAAACAGGTTTTTGCTGGCAGTAGTGCTGCAAGCTTCTCCCTTATCTCTTTCCAGTAAAACACTCGGCTTCTGCCAGTGCTTGATTTGCAAGATACATTGTTTGCATAATTAATCTCTCATGAAAAGTTAATCTCTTTCCACATTCTCTGCTGCTGGAGGTTGATTCATTCCTGTAAAGAAGTGCAAATCTATCCTCCCTGTCCTAAGCACTGACCTGTGGTTCCTGCAGCTACGCGATGCCCACCAAAACCAACGAAGTGCTGTTCTTGGAAGAGCGAGGTTCCAAAATGCAGCTGGACGCGGTCCTTACTACCCATCAGAGGGTTGTCCAGGTATGAGCTGGCGTTTGCTGATAGCACCGTGGCCCTTGTGCAGCACATCCTATCTCAGGCTTTCAAAACCCCTTAACAATTGGAGTTAAGTCTCTTGAACAAATGAAAGGTGTAATTTGTGCGTAAATTGAAGCACAAAGAAGTCTTAATTAGATTTCTTGCTAAAGGTTACTCACAAAGTAGAAGCAGAGGAGGGGTTCCTGGATTCTGTATTTCAGCCAGAAGATTTATTACCTATTTTATGCAGAATACCTGATACAAGCGTAGAAAAGTAATGTTTAAGGATGAATGACTGGACAAACGTGATGAAATTCAAAAATACTGTTGGTCTCAGGGTCAGCTTCAAAAGTGTACAACTGAATTACATTTTAAACCTAGAGGTAGACTTTTTCCACCGGAAAGAGCTGACGTGTAGTTAACGCTGGGGCTTGCAGGTTTGCTGTGGCAGCCTTTGTATTGAAGTCTCACCTAAATTAAGACCTTCACGCGTGGCTAAGTCTCTTTACGTGACGCAGGCAGGGATGGGAAGCACAGTGTTCACAGAGAAGAGCCAAAGTGAGAGCTTTGGGCCATGCTATATGTGAGAGGTGCGTGCACAAAGCAGAGTGCTTCTCTAATGAAGTGGTTGACTGCCACGGGCTCATGCTGAAATGGACTCACTGTGCCATTAGTATAATGAGGCCATTTTGTGTGGGGTGTTCTGCTCCTCCAGCGCTTTTATTTCTTCTTTCAGATCAGCGGTGTGAGTTCAACGTTTGCTCCGATACTCTTGGAAATTATTCAGAGTAATCAGCCTGAAGGGGTCCATCTGTTAGTGAAAGAGGTATGTTTAATTTTACCAATGCCTTTGCATTTAAGAAGCAGATATGATGTGTGACTTGAATTTGCTTCGAAAATACAGACCTGGTCTGGAGACTACTGTCTACTCTAGACTTATGGATACCCAGGATCTCCCAGAACCAGGCCCTCACTTGGTCTATGAAAATCCATTATCTCTAATTCTTGATGAATGTTTCATTTAAAATTTAGCCTTCTATAATTAGTACTGCAGAAGGTACCTTCCTAGCCAATCCCATAGATCTGTAGGAGATGACAGGTTGCAAGTTGCTTTCCTTTGCTGCCGCAGTTTCCCTGTGACTCGGAAGGGAACACTTTCCTTCAGCAGTGCTTCACCGCCTCTTATCTGGGAATTGCCACAAACTTCATGGAGCAGTCGGTAGCAAAGCTGGGACTGGCAACCCAAATGCTGTGCCCTGTTTTGCTAGAATTTGCTCTGGGAGGGGTTCAGCTTGGTTTTTGCAGAAACTCCCAACAGTTTTCTCAGCACTGAGGACTTCAGGACAGAACTCCAGTCACTGGTGGACCAGGCATAAGGAGATATTTAAACTTCAGTCGTTTTACATTTGGACAAAACAGTCCCAGGGAGCCGTATTTATTCAGGGACAAAAGATTTTTGTGCCTTGAAAGGGAAGGCAATACAGTAAACTCAAATATGAAACCACAGTTGGCTTCTTAAGTGGCCTTTGAAGAATGTTTAGTTATCTTCAACTCTGCAACACCAGAAGGAATACAGGAGAAGGTCTCTTGAGTCCCGTAATCTTCTCTGCTTTGGTCACAGTCCCGTCTCTGCCTTAGGGCTGCCATTTCTTTTTTTTTTTTTTTTTAATTTTGGCTGATGGCTTTGTCTCTGGAGGGAGAACTGTGACATTGTGCCATTTGCAAAGTCATTGCAGTCTGATGCAGGAAGCTCAGGGGAGAGACCCAAGCTGGCTTCATAAGACTGGCACTGCAGAAGAGAGATTAAAACTTTGGGATGCTCTTGCAAAGTTCTGGAGAAAGTGGCAGGTCTCCTCATGAAAGTGGATGCCACGGTGCTACGCAGTGGGAGAATTGGGGGTGTCCAGTTGATTTCTTAAGCACAATGCCACTGCTCACTCTTCCAAAAGCAGTTAGTCAGGGGAGGGAGAACCTACGAGGCCGAATTTTAGAGCCCGTGACCAAGCGTGTCCACGGCTGCCACGCTCGTTTGCTGCTAGAAGCTTTCTGCCCTCTGTGCTTTACCCCCAGCAGCTGCTTCTGTTGGAGGCTGGATGTAAGAGAGGAGGCTTAACAGCTCTGCCACCAGCTTCCAGATGGAGCTGACCGCGAGATCTTAGCCTGCGGTGACTTTCCACTGGAGCTTCCTACTCCCTGGGTTCAGTGGACATTTAAGTCTTTTGTTTTTCCCCTCTTAAGTGATTCTCTTCGGGAGAGAGTTTGCCTTCCTTTTGATTTCAAAAAGTACTCAAGAGGTGATGCTGATCTGCTTGGGGTTTTGGTTTTCCTCCCTCCACAGCACACAGAAGCTGACTTCAAGAGCCGATTAAAGTCTCGACCAGAACTTGAAGAGCTGCTAGCGCAGATGAACTGAGACGAAGAAGGCTCCATCCATTTCAGAGCCACGTCTGGGAAAGCAAGAGCCTCCTCCTTGGCTGCTCAAGCCTCCAGAAGGCGACTCCATGAGCACTGTGATGATAATTTGGTGAAATGGAAGAAATTTTCCACTGTTGTTAAGTGGCTTGTCTTAATAAAGACAAATATATGTGTTTCTATCTCACTGATTTGTATCATGAGTGAAGTGAGTCCACAATGAAATGTGGCTTTTTCTCAGTTCTTCCCCCCGCCTTTTTTTTCCTGTATGTTTTACTCTTGAAATATGAGGATTTCTGCAAGTTTTAGTGCGCAGAAAACTCTTCAAGTGAATAATGCTGTACTGCAACTGTCCCACGTGCTACTGATGGGGAAGTGACTGTCCTGCTCCTTTCTTCAGCTGAAGACTGGAGCAACGTGTTATTCTCGTAGAGCTGCTTAAATCAGAGCTTCGCTGACATGAGTGGAGCCTCTGAGCCCTGGGAGGGTTGGGGTGATCGTCCCCGAGCAGCTGAACCACCACTGCTTGACAGAAAAAAAGCCCTGGAGGGCAGAGGCAGGAAGGTTGGAGCAAAGTTTCTCCTTAATTTCTGATTTGCCTTTCAAACCAGAAAGGATAAACTTCTGCCCGTATCCCTGAAGTCAGTCTACTTTTTACAACAGCCCTTCGGAAAGGGGGAAATTACTTGTGCTTTGAAAGGATGAATCCCAAAAGCGCAAAGCGGTTTGGGGAATTTCCCAGGATGGAAGCGGATGTTTCTCCGAGAACTGCTGCATTTACTGAGTGACCTGGAACCGAATTTGGCCACGCTGCTGAGCCGCTTATCGCCATCCTGCAAAACCCAGAGCCCACGGGAGCTGTGGCTTTTGGGTGCGCATAGGGGTGCTGGGTCAAACAGGTCATGGCACCTGGATTTTTTTACTCCAATCCTCCAATTATTTCAAATTCCGAGATCGGGTGCATGTGGCTGTTTTTATTTAGGCTGGAGCTGACACGATACCCAATCACACCATCCTTTGAGGAAGTGTGTTAGAACCAAGTATAAGCCCCGGTTTGATGGATGCTAAGAGGAGGTTCTGTTCCTGCCCCAAACCTGGTTTGTTTACAGGTTGTTTTTTTTTCCCCCCTTTTCTAAGCACCAGCTCTTTAAAAGAGGGAAAGTAACTCATTAGCACTCTCCCCCAAACTAAGGCTGCTCAGGGGTTGCTGGATATTCACTCGTGGTCTTGAGCCTGTTGTGATTTTTGGCTGGCACCATGAAACCGAGCCCCTTGGCACCCTGCTTCATGGGAAACAGCCTGGAAAGTTTTCCCCCGACAAAATCCATGGGCACCCTTCCCTTTCTAGCCCACAAAAAGCCATTTTATTTTCTTTTTCATAGTTTATTTGCTAGGAGGTGGTGTTCAGAGGAGCATCCTTCCTTGTAAGAGCCCCTTTTTTCCCCATCCATAATGCTCCTGGTGCTTCCCAGGAGATAAATCCCCCCCAGAATCCTGCCTGGTGGGACATGAGGTTATCACTGCTGGGAAAAGCTCTGGGATAGCACAGGGAAAGGACACGGAGCAGAAATCCACAACAGGGCTGTCGCACCCAGCCTGGGTGCCATGAATGCTCCTGGTTTGGGACATTTTGGGCTGGAAATCCCTATCTCACCCCGCAACCGTCCCCTCCGAGCTCCCAGTTATCGTTGGTGGCACAGATGGAGATGAACGCTTTGGCCAGGACAACAAACACCACCAGATTTAATTTCCCAACAACGTAGCATGGATTTACCAGCACATCCACCCGCTTGAATAAAAAATAACACCAAAAAAAGGGTGAAACGGTGTAGCCACCTCCTTCCTATGGTGCTGATGATGGGCTGGCCAGCGGTCCCGGGAGGTCCCCGGTGATTTCAGTCCCCAGTGGGTGAGGGGTGGGCTTGGCGTGAGCCGGACACGTGGTGCGGTTCCTCGGCACGCTGCCGCCGGGCCATGCACTCCCGGAAAGCCTGGACCTGGGGCTGGCAGCGTCGCCAGTCCTGCTGCGCCGCCATGCACTCCTGCAGCTCCCAGTGTTGCGCCGCGCAGCCCGTCCGCGAAATCATGGCATCTACCGGGTCCTCGCCCTCCTCATCCTCATCTTTCTCCAACGACCGACGGTTCCTGCCGTGTCCAGGCCTCGCCATCGCTGAGCCGGGCTGCAGCAGGGCAGCAGGCGTCGGGGCGCTGCTTTCCCTTCCACAGCCCTGCGTGGGTCACTGCCCCCTTTTTTGGGGGTATCCCCTAGGGTGTCCAGCACCTCCATGGGTGCTCAGCACCCTCTGCACCCCCCTCCCACACCCCTGTGGGTGCCCAGCACCCTCCATGCCCCCATGGGTGCCTCCACACGTTCCATGCACCACCAGGAGGAGGAGCTCAGCACCACCCCTCCATGTAGCCCCCACACCTCTATGGGTGCCCAGCATCCCCCATGCACCCCCACCCCCACCCGTGGGTGGCCAGCACCTACCTGCCTGCCCCCCC